TCATGTTTCCACTATATTACAACATTCCTGAATGACATGACACAAAGTGACACTTACTTTGCTAAGTACACAACTCCTTAGGGCTAGGATGAAAGCTTTGTCTTTCTGAGAATCCTACTCTATAACATCTGTTTAAAAGTAGGGAAAATGTTAACTAATCTGTTTGCCAGCTCACCGGATTTCTTTGACGGTTACATTTCCTTTGTGAAAATGAATCCATACAAGATGTGATAAAAAGAGGATGCTAAGAATGGGATAGGTTTTTTTTTTCAGACCTATATTTCTTTTCAATCATTTGTCCCAAACATTCTTAATCCAGTTCTGAGTGTTCTGGCAGAATAAAAGACTGATTGCCATTCCTTGTGGATGTTTCTGCACTAGGGAAAAAAATGTAACCATTTCTGGCAATGATCATTTCAGAAATGATACATTAAACAAAATTTTAGGCAAGCCAATACATTTCCTCAAAGTCCTAGATCCAGTTTTTATGACTGCTCTTATCCATTGTTAATGCTGCTGTAAGTAGACAGAAGAATGTGAATGCATGCTGTGAGCCCATCTTCCTGTAAAAGGGAGAGCATTCATCAGAATCACAGAACTGGAGCAGGCTGAAGGTAGTCCCTTAACTCCTTAAATCATTGATTTAGAAAATGATGAAAAAGACTTGGCTTGGGTCATCTTGCGGCATCAAAGTTGTAATTTTCCTGTTCATTTTCTTAACTTGCAGTACTAGGACGTATCAAATTTTTCAACTTTCAATTTCCAAACATTAGGGCTGCTCAAAAGCTGTGACATGCCTTGGGGATTGTAAAGATATTTTGGTTACTTTAATATAATTTAGATGTGCTTGATAAATACATAAATAACTTCTTAACATTTTGTTTGTTTCATTTGACAGACCCGCATATTTTGAACCTATAATACACACCACTTCTAATGTGCTCTTTAAAAAAAAAAAAAGAGCCTTGAATTATTTACATTTTCATTAATTTGCTTATACCTATTAGATATGTTTCCATCCATTCCTAGATGGGAATGACATTTTGAGTGAATCTTATTTGTTTTCCAAACTCTGCAGATTCTTAGTTAACAGAATCCATTATCAATATGCCCCTCATATATTGCTCAGACTCCGACTCATATATTGATAAAGATTTCATAAAAATTCAAATATACCAGGTAACAACCAAGTCTTCTTCTTTTTGTATAGAAATTTTTATCTACTTTAAGTTGTGTCTCCTTGCTGCCACAGATTTGCTTTAGGAATCCCTTGGTGAAGTTGTGGATGCTCCATCACTAAGGTTTTTAAGAACAGGTTGGACGAACCTTTGTCTGGAATGGTATAGGACCTTCTTCTTGAGTAGGGGATTGGACTAGAAGATCTCCGAAATTCCTTCCAAGTCTTATTATCTGTATTCTGAGGCTTTATGATATTCAATGTCCTGCCAGTAATCTTTACTCAGAAACAAACATTTATTCACTGGAACAATTCTCATTCCCTCCCTTCCTCCCTACCCCCCCTTTCTTTCTCTCTCTCATCCTCCAATTTGGTGTAATAATTTCATTTAGCTTTTATAGCAAGAACTGACAGGAACCTGACCAGGACCTTGAAATGTTTCACCTTTCTCTTGAGAGCCTCCTTCTCAGATCTAATATGTTTATAGTGTCCCTGTGGGTGTCATCTGTACTCACATGAATGAGCAATCAGGAGTCTTGATAAATCTTGGGAATCTGCCCATCATTGTCTGAAATTCTACACTAGGGAGATTGACCTCCAATGAAACCAATAGTCTTATGGCAAGTTAATAATAATAATATTTTTTAAAAAAACCTTGCATGTATTGTATAATTAATTATTCATGGTTCCCAGTCTCACCCCAGGCATAGTCATATAATACCTCTATATATTCCCAAAATAAAATATTCTATGCTGATTTTAAATATAATGTTTGGGATGAATTTACACAGTGGCTGTTCTGATATCTTAATAAAATATTCTATTTGTATGGTTCTTTGTTTTCTGTTTCTAAATGCCTTTGTTTTTGCATTTTATTGTTCTAGCTTTCTATTTAGACTGTAAAGTAGTTGGGAGTCAGGTGATCTATAAATCTAATTAATTTAAGTTTTCATTATCATACCAACTTCTCTCCAGAAAGTGTATGTGATGAAGGAGAACACAAAAAAGGGCAGAAGATTTCTATGAAAAATCTGCCTAGAATTCTGTTGTAAATTATCTTTGGCATTTCTCTATAAAATAAGAGCTAGACCATTAAAAAAAAAAAAAAAAACTTTATACTCAAAGCCTGTGAGAGAATATACAGAACTCCAGAGTGAGACTAGCATGTCTATCTATTGTCCAACTTCTTCATTATTTTGAATGCATCTTATAAAATAGTATTCACAATAATTTTTAGAAAGTAAATCCTAAAAGTAAATCATGAATACTGAAGAATTAGGCAACAGAGATCCATTGTGAGATTGTAGTGGTTCATAATGTAAGGCTATTGAATACTCATGTTAACAGCTCTCTGGATACAGGAAATTAGCACATCCAGAAAAATATTAGATTACTGTTATTTGTGAAAAAAAAGTTGAACATTGAGTGCTAAGTTGCTGTAAGAATTTATTAATAAAAGCTCAGACAAAAGGTGATCTCTTCCTCTATGTTTATGTAGGGCATGATGTATTTTGTTCCTGTCTTAAATATTACTTATTTGCTTTGATTAATTTTCAGCAAAAGGGAGACCAACATGGAAACATAACATTTCCCATGTATTCTGTATTATTTTACTTTTTCTTCCCCGTAGATTTGATTTTGGGTGGTATATTATATATTTATTTGATCTGAAGTCAGTCTAAGATAATGTAAAAAAGTATGACTCCTTCTTTGCTTTATACTGTGATTTTAAAGGAAACACCTGAAAATGCAGTTCAGTTTTGATGAAAGTGAATGGGAGAATAGCCATTTGTCCTGGGATGAAAAGTAATTAAACAGTAATTGAAGTTGCTATTATCAGCAGCCAGCTTTTTTCTTGGAAAGATAAATGGTTGTGTTGTCACGCTTTTAGTTAGTATTATTATCCTAGTTAACATTCCATTTCAGGCTTTTTCCAGATAGAGTGAACTTCATGCAGAAAATTTAGGATTACTATTAAAACTGGGTGTCTACAGTCCCATCTCCATTTCCTGTTTATGCTACTAAAATTCAACAACAAAAACCATTATATTTTGGCAGTGTAATTTTCTGTTTCCCCTCCCCCAAAGGTTGAAACTACTGTAGCACTATTTATTTTATTATGGTTCTTACCGAGTGGCTCCTTTTAAAATAGCTGCTTCAGGCACCAAATTAGTTTCTCAGACAGTAGACTGAGGATTCATCATTTTAACATAGGAATGTTTTGGTTGGCTTGTTAAGTTTATTGGCAATGGCCAACCCTGTTAGCAAAATCTTTTGTTGGAAAAAAAAATCTACTGAAGTAACTGCAATTTGCAATGATTTCATTAGAGTGCTCTGTCAATGTCTTTTTTTCTTATCCCAGTTGATTCCATCCGTATGGGGTGAAATACGATACCGATAACCTTATAATTTATCAGCTCAGTTATGTTAGTTCTTCAAGGTATGCCACACTAGGAAACCAGAATTATGAATGCTAATACTTTTATTGCAAGGTTACAGTTACAGACTTACACATCTGAACATGCTTCTCTCACCCCTTCCCTTCATCTTCTAGAGAACTAGGGGGGCTCAAGATTGAAATATTTTCTCAAATTACAATTCTGCCCTGGATTCAGATTTCTTTTATTGGATTGTTGTTTGCTTCTGATTCTTCCTCTTGTTCCTCAAGATTATTCCACTGCCCATTATAAGTTACCATGACTTCTACATACAATACATATAAATTAAATTTCATATTTTGATAGCAAAATTAGATCTAGACTAAAGCTATGCTACCAATCCATGCTGTAAGAATATCTGCAGGAAGACAAAAAGGCATATTCTATTGTGATTTAGGCCTTCTGTTTCTCCCTGCTTCTGACCTATGTAGACCCACAAAGAGATACAGTTGTTGCTTTTAAATTAATGATAATGGCTAGTTATAGCTAAAATTTCATGAACTCTGATTACTTTAAACAATCAATACATGATCCTGGCTGATTGTTTTCCTGATTTTGACATAATCCTGGCTAGTGAAAAGTAAAAGGAAATGTTCTGATCCCCTCACATTATCCACAACACACAGCATAAGTAGGTGGAAGAATGCAAACCAAAAGTTCATTCATGCATTATTATAGGAGATGGGATTCTGGCATTCCTCATCCCAACTATATATCTACCGGTACATGGCACCAATGTGATGAAATGAGAAATTAGATTTGTTTGAATGTGTTATATGTTGTATCAGATATAAGATGAGTCAAATGTTTCTTCAGCAAAGCTTGGAAGGCAGCTTTGACATCACAGGTCCTTTAAACAAGGTTTTCATTTCACTATAAATGAAATCAGGTTGCTTCATTTAAACAACAACCATTCATGTAATATTATTTGGCACAATAACCTCGGAGCCCTTTTATATCTGCTAGGACATTGATTACACCTAATCTTGTGTGAGAAGTAGCGTTTGGATTTAGTGGGTAGCGTTTGTAAACGCTGGAACCCGAAGGCAACAAAGAGAACTGGATTAAGTATGTCTTCACAGTAGTTTGGACAACACTTCCCCCTAGATGATGGGCTATGAGCAGATTCATATTGATTGCAATGCTTCTGACACCTGCTCAAAGCTCCCTCTTCTGTTTCCATGGTAACCAAGAGCAGGAATACTTGTCCACATACTTTAGGAACCTCATTAAATCAGGCAGCAGGACAGCAGCTGTGTTCTCAATGTGTTACATTGACAGTCATGGACTAATTTTATGACGCTCAGGTGATTTTTGGCCTTCTCTCTAGTCTAAACTGTGGAGATAGTGGGACAGATGGCAAAATAAATAAATATTGCCAATATGTTTTAACACATACACATCTTCTGGAAAACGAGAAAGCCAACCAAAGTAATGCTGATCTGCCTCAGGTAATTTTGATGCCAAGCATAAATAGCCATTATTGGGGCGGATAGTTGTATTCAAATAGTGTTTTTGAAATAAGTGGTCAGCTTTGAAAGCAAATGTTTTTCACACAAAATACAATAAATATAAAATATAAAATCTCACAGCAAAGGCTGGACTTTTTTTCAAAATGTTTTACAATACAATACCAAGAGTGATGGTTTGAAACTCTGTCTCTTTTGCTAAATATTTTCCAAATATGCTAACCAGAAAAACAGTTATAATGTCAGCAGTATCTTCTCCACAATTACCTCCCTGCTGAGTGAAAAGTCACTCCTTCTGGCTCTATTCCTCTATCTACAGGTGTTTTGTGACGTGTGTGTGTGTGTGTGTGTGTGTGTGTGTGTGTGTGAATATCTGGCAAGCAGGGCAAGACACACTACAGAATTCCTTTCCCTCCCATCATTTTATAATTGAAAATCACTTTCTCCTTTTAACTAGAGTGGAGGAAATATGGTTCCCCCTCGCCACACCCAATCGTCTGTATAAACTTCCAGCTTCTTTTGACCTGGAAAACAACCCACCAACCAACCAGAAAAGGGTTAAACTAAAATTATGGATAAAATTGGATTGGAAGTTGGATTTGACATTTGGAAGAATGTACAGGAAAATACACAGCTATCAATAATGCTTGAACTTCATTGTTGTGGCAAACTTACAATTGGAAGTTTGAAAAGTCCTCCATCAAAACAGGTAGGGTTTGATGTGATACAATTCTGTATAAAAATGCTATTGTTCTCAAAGTAGAAACGTACATAGAATGGTGATATTTTGTTTTCTCCATTTGGAAAACTTTTCTTTAAGGACGAACTTTCCTTTGTCTTGAACCTACATAGGTTTAAGTCTTGCATTATATAGACTATAGAGGATTGTTTCTGATGTGTACTTGAAGAGAACTGTGTGTTCTTTTTGAATGTCCAACAGGTAGCAGGATTTAGCCAACCTTGACTGATCATGCTAAGTTAAGCCGGGTCAGATCTGTTAATTATTTGGATGGGAGACTATCTGAAAATACCAAGGCTGAAGGCTGGATTAGGAAGTTAAAAACCCTTCTAGCAGCAAATAGTAACAAAGCACTTTCATATTGTTGTTAAGAAAACTATCTGGACAAGTCCATGAAATCTTTATGAATTACATGCTACTCATTTATTTATTTATTTATTTATTACTTTTTTGCTACTTTTTAAAATATTGCTCTAACCCAGGCTCTAGCTAAGAATAAAATAACATACATTGTTGAAGAAACTCGTTGACAAATATAGGGCAAACTGGCTTCATATTTCAATTCCTCATTATAGCGTGATGTGTTTTATTTAAAACAGAACTATTACTTTTTATCTTTTATCTATGAATATATGTACGTGTTTGTGTGTATGAGTCCTGTCCTATTTTTGGTGAAGCATTTTCTCCTTTTTTGCAATTGCTATCTTCATCCTACAAGCTACTTATAATGATTATTGATTCCACCACTTCCATTTCTCAGAGGGTGGAAATTGAAGATAGATCTCTATTTTCCTAAACAATTGCTACCTAAAAGTAATAGGAATCTTCTAGCAGAGTCCTCAACTTCTATTCTAGAGAGATCTTTTGAAATTAGCTGAAGGATCACATATGCCTCTAAGCCTGTAAGTTGCCCATCCCCCATACTAAAAGAAAGAAAGGGAGAGGAACATAGAAACCGGAGACGTATAGGCTCATTTCAGTAGACTAGCAATAACAATAGAACTTAGATTATGTATCACTTCACAATGCTTTACAGCTCTTTCTAAACGGCCTACAGAGTCAGCCTATTGCTCCCAACAACCTGGCTCCTCATTTTACCAACCTCAGAAGGATGGAAGAATGGGTCAATCTTGAGCCTGGTGAGAATCAAATTGCTGGCAGTCAGCAGAAGTAGCCTGCAATACTGCACTCTAACCATTGTGCCACAATGGCTCCTGGTGAAGATAGAAGATAGGCAGAGACCTTGCATGAACTACTAAATGGTTTCCTGATTTAGACATCACTAGTATGTCTCTCTTGGTTGTGTGATGGCAATAATAATAATTTATTAAATTATTATTATTAATTTATTATTATTATTATTAAATTATTATGCTGCCCAAATCCTATTTTTAGCAGGATTCAGATTTGGGTATGGTACAGATCATAGCCAGATGACATGATGGTATCCTTCAGGATCAACACAGAAGACTGGTGGCCCAGAGTTTTGCTGGTTTGCCTCCTTTCTTCAGGGTGCATTACAATCAGTGGTGATTGGAGAGGAAAAAAATCCTACCCTCAGCCACTACTATGTGGTGTGCCACAAGGTTCAATGCTCTCTCCTCATCTATTTATCTACATGAGGCCACTTAGTGAGCTCATCCATCACTATGTGGTGGGATTTCATCACCACTGATGATACCCAATTATACAACTTTGCCCCTGGTGAATTAAGCAATGCTGTCTATGTGTTATTCTGGTGCCTGGAGTCTGTGAGGGTCTGAACAGGGAACAATAGGCTTCAGTTGAACCCTGGCAAGACTGAGTGGCTTTGAGTTTGGAGGCCTATTGGTACTAGAACAATGCCTCATTTGGTGCTAGATGGAATGGTCTGGTGTAATGGAACATGAGAATGACCTTGAGGGAAAAGGGAAAGAGATGCAGCCTGGAAACGATCAGATAAGAGAGGCAGAGTCCCCATGGCTTAATGTTCAGAGAAAAGAAAGACCCCACCCCAATGGATCACGCAGCTAAAAGTGGTGGTGGAAAGTTTTGTAGTTTCAGACTTGCAAGATTGATGTCAAACCTCCTGGGTAAACCAGACAGTACACACAATTAGATGAGCTAAATCTATCTTATTGTAAGACTACATTAAGAGAAACATGCAATGTTGATCCATCCCATTATATTTAGCAGAGAAAACATGTTGTGGGTACCATCCACCAGGGATCTATTTTTGATGGGTCCCAATAAGTGGGCATTTTGTCATGGTGCCTATCCTAAGGAACATTCCCACACCACCAGCACCGATTACCTCCATATCTGTTATTACTCCAGAAATTTCCTAAAATCTAGTTATGTCACAAGGTTTGGGGATCTTAGGGAACCATTGACATTCTTAGATAGTTCCATTGTTCTGTCCTTACTATATGTTAGTTTGCGTGCCGCTCGACATGCAGCTAAACCCACCTATCCTCCAATAAAACAGACCGTGTGCGTAGAACTGGATGCTTTATTGAAAGAAGAGGATATGGTAAATCTGGGGAAAATAGGAATACATAGAATGAGAACCAAATACAATATTGAGTTACTGCTGAATATGACAATTAATAAATACAAGTAACCTTAATCTCACGAACCATGCTCTGTATGTGGAATGTGAGTTCGTTCTTGGATAAACATGTGCCACAGATTAGGCTGGATTCTTCTTTGTGCTTCTGCCTCCTCCAAATGCTAAAAGAAAATGGAGTCTGGCTTCCCAGCATGCACTTGTTTTGAGAGTGTGGGCTGATGGGTGAAGGGTCAGCTTCAAACAATATAATTGATATTTATCCCTCAGGCCACTAGATGGGGCTAGAGAGCAACAACAGTGTATAAAGATTATATGTTGGGGCATGACATCCATTATACATGATCTTTTAGTCTCTTTCCATGTGGTTTGTAGATTTTAATTTTTATACTGTTTTTTCATTTTTTAAAAAAATATATTTTAAAATGTGTGTTTGTGTATTCTATTCAATTTTAATAGATTGATTTATTGTTCTATACTGCTCAGAGTTTCTACTATGAGTGGGTGGCCATATCAATGTGATAAATCAATAAAGCCTAGCAAACTGATTACTATGTAGGGTTGATAAACATTATAAAACAAGAAGAGTCTAGTGTTTTCATAAATATGAGTTGGATTGTTTATCATATAGGTTCATCAATTGTTTCATAACAACTGACGAACCTATACGATAAACTAGCCAACTCATATTTATTATTTGCTCAGCACTGAAATCTGTAACCACTGGTGAAGAACAACCAAGTGGAAATCTCATTTCAGTTGGAGAACCTCAAATGTTAAATGACTGAGTGCAAAAAACTAGGTCCACACATGAAGGTTTAAATTAACTGATTTATTACTAAAAGCTTATGCACAGGAATCTTCTCCACTAATGGTCAGCACTTAGTAAGAGTTAGATATGGGCCAGCCGCAATATTGGGGGGTGGGGAAGAGTTGGATTTAGTTCATTTGTGACTATATAACAATTCTAAACTGATACCTCTTTTAACTCCTGTCTCTGCAAGCCCTTCTCCTAGAATTACTGATGAATTGTCCAGCAGATTGTGATGAAGCTTTGTAAAGCACTTCTTTGTAAAGCTCTTATTTACAGGTACTATATTTACTTACAGTTGCCTGAATTAACTTTTTCCAACTGAGAGGAAAATAGCTGTGTTTCCCACACAGATTGTTTTAATGTTTAAGAACTGACAGCAATATTAAATATTAATTTCTTAAATAATTGACTTACTTTAGAGGTATTTGCAATATATCTAAATATTTATATTGCATCATAAAATGAAATAATTCCTAAAAGCTGTTTGAAATGAATACAGTTCTTTAGTGAAACCAATTAAACATAAGGTAAGTGTATTATTTCATATCTCAACTTTAAGGTGGCATTTAAATTGAAAAGCTGACTTTGTATAAATATACAAAAGTATGAAGGCTATTGCTTAACGCATTGTAAGCCGCCTTGAGTCTCCGGAGAAGGGCGGCATATAAATCAAATTTTTAAAAAATGAATTTCTGTTTTAGTGAAACATCTTTAGCATTTATGAAGCAAGTTTAATCCAAATACATTTTTAGTAAGAGTAACAGTTATCTCTATATATAAAAGCAAAAACCACTCATGTATTAATCATGAAATCTCCAGAACCGTAAAGCCTACAAACTTGAAATTTGCCACGTATGTTCCTCTTGGCTTCTAGATGCTCA